AGGTCAACTTGCTTATACTGGATCTGATTTTATAACTGACATTTATTTATAAAATACAATGTGATATTGTTTTGTATTCTCAAAATATAAAAGTATTCTCTTGCATTAAAAAAAAGTGATGCCACAATTTTAAAATTGCACTCAAATAAGAATTGGCATTTTTGTTTAATGCAAATATAACTGGAGAACCAGAACACATGCAAGGCATTTCTAATGTGTTTTAAAGAAACTATTAAAATTGCTTAATTCATAGTATATCATATTAGTTATATTAGTAAAGAAATCAAACTGAATCATAAACTGAAACATGAAACAAAATAAAGAAATATGTTCAAGGCCACATAACTAGGCATATTCTAGGTGTCCTGAATATTTATATAATATACAACTATCTATTCTTGTTGTACCTGTAATTTATATCATCTATTAATATGTTGTTGATTATTCTGATTCAAATTAGGAATATGTAAAATTATCCCTTCAAATTTGCCAAGTTTGTGATATTTGTGACATTCCTAAATATTATAAAAAATGCATTTTTCTTATTTGGAACCCTCCTATCTTGCTGATTAATTTATAAAATTAAAAACTGGAATTTAAATATTAGAATCATACTAAAACGAAAAACAATCCTTTGACATATTAGAGCATTTGTAATTATTAAAACATTTTGCAGATGAAGAAGAGTGAACAAAGCTTCAAATAAGCTTGGTTGTTGCCCTAAGATACATGTTTAATCAATGATGGAATTGGAATTTAGTAAATGATGGAATTGGAATTTAGTAAATGATGGAATTGACCAGGTTGACTCCACAGGATTCACTTATACTTTCTTATCCTTTAATCATTTTCTTCTCCCCACATCTATGAGAAGTCATTCCAAAATGTTTTCATCTCCTTATTGTCTGGGTCCTCCTTTTTTCTATTTGTCACCTATTTCTCTTCTGCCCGACATTTAAACGTTGGAATGCTTCAGGGCTCAATCTTGAGCTCTCTTCTTTTTTTATTCTCTATTCTTTTCCAATTTGATATCATCATTTATTGGGTGATAATTCCAAATATATATCTCTTGGCTAGATCCATATATTCAACTCTGTAGTTTACATATCCGATTTTGATTGTCCATGGGCAGCTCAACCATAATGTGCTCAAGTCAAAAGTTGTGATGTTCCTCCCAAAGTGCTCTTTCTTCTGTCAGCACCACCTTACAAAAAGGCATTGCCATTTACCTGCTTGCTTATGAAAAAAAATTTAAAACAAGCATGTGAATCCCTTGATTATTACTCTCTCTTGCATCCAATATTTAGTAAACATCAGCTATGCTTTCTACCAACAAACTAGATCTCTAATCTGTTCTGCTTTGCATCTCGTCAGCCATCACCCTATCCCAATCCCCACACTTACTCACCCTGCATAAGCTCCTGAATCTTCTCTTCTCCACCACAAGTACAACATATGAAAAAAAAACTTTTCAAAAAATCTAGATACAGTTATATTCTTTCTTTCCTTAAGACTTCTTTATGGCTTTTTATCAATCATAAAATTAATCTAAATGCTGACATGCCTTGAAAATAACCTGAATAATCCTTTCTTTGTCTCTTAGCCAGCATCAGTTCATAAAATTCTCCCACGTCTTGAGTAGAATCTGCTCACCCTGATATTTCCCAAATATTGTTTTGTTGTCAAAGTTTTGCACATACTGTTCCCTTAGCGTGGAACACTCTAAATCCACTCAAGTTTTCCACAGATTCAAGTCCTACTCCTCCTCCTGGAAAATAGTGGATTCCCAAACATGAAAGAAATTCATGTAATAATAGTCCACAGAACTTGTCAAAGTCAGAAAAGAAAGAGCTTTTGGGATCTGAAGAAATTAACACTCAAGGTAGAGGGTGTAAAAGCAGAAACTCAGGAGCAAAATAGCTGAGGAAATTATAAGAAACTATAATTTTGGTTTTCTTACACCATACACTAAAAGAAACCCATTTTAAATAATATGAAAGCCTGCTTTTAGAGTAACAAGCACAATTATATTTTATTTACAAATCTATCATGTATATGGCCCATAGGAAACATTAATGTACTGTGTTAAAGATAGAGTATTGTCTTTGGGCTTTAAAACACCCTGTTCTCCCAGTTTACATTAAATTAGGAGACACCTGATTTTAGTCATTATTTCTTAAAAGTGACTTTAAATAATACAAATTTGTTCAAAATGGAATATTTTAAACATTTTATTAATTTTGTCAATCCTGAAAAAAAGAGTACCTGAAAAAACAGCACTTACCATAACATATTGGTTTAGGAGACCAACCATCGTTATCACACACTATGGAACCTGTGCGCCCATCTCTGCTTTCAAATCCGTCATGGCATTCATAGTCCAACTTGTCATTGAGTTTAAACCACGTGCCATGGCTTTTGATTCTGGCATTCTCCAATACTGGCACGTCACAAGATTCTAATGCATAATACAATCGAAGGTTTCACTTCTAATATTATTTAATGGACAATGTAATTAAGTTCCATCCCAAGGAGGTAAAAAAAGATTTATTAATTAGTATGTGCTAATAAATTAAGTATCATATTAAAAGAATCTAAGAATACCAGTGATAAATCATTGTCCAGAAAAAGTTACTCAAAATGAAAAAATATGTTTCTACACAGCGTTTTTCTTATCACTTGAACACTGTGAAAAATTTATTCTAAGAACACTTTTTTCAATCAATTATACTTTTGTGTTTATCCCATGCTTGTAATAAAATAGGCCATTACAGATGGATCATACTTTTTCTAGCAAAGCTGAATAGCATTTTGTGAATTAAGATGACAAACTCATTAGCAGTGTGACAAATAGGCCAGATTAGTTGAATAATATTAGTTTTCAACAATGCAAGTAAATTTTTAAACATTCTATAAAAGTCTACAACATAATAATTTCTAAAGCTCATATCCTGATTTTTTTTACCTAAATATATTCCTAATGGCTGTGTATTCTTTTCAACTTACCAAGATTGAACAGAGAGATAACTCTATTGTTTATAATTTGTTATAAGGAAGTAAAGTGTTAAAAGTCTCAATTTTTGCTAACACTATACTAGAATGATGTTAATAAAGGTTTAAATAATTCATCTCAAATGTTATACTGTGTTATGTAGCCAGCTACCTTAAAGCTTTAAAAAAGAAAGCAAAACTAACTAGTGAAAAAAGAGACAGAGATGTTCTCTTCTATAATAAGAGTGTTTTAATGGATAACTGATTACAATTTAGTATAAAATGAGTTCGATATGGGAACAACTTTTATCATTTTTTTTCCTGTGGCTGGTGCCCATAGTAAGCATGGAAATTGAAAAAAATAAGGAAGTGAAAACAGTAGAAATGGATATTCAAATATCCACTTTACTTAAAGTGAATATGCTAAATATCAGTGCAAAAGATCACTATGTAGCTTTGGAGTATAAGATAAACTGAGCAAATTGTTCTTAGAAAATCTTCATAAATACCTAGGGACAGGGAAATCTTTCAACACAACTGCATTTGGTACCATCTAGAAGCATTTCTGTCTCCACTAATTAGATGTTTATGAAGATTTCCTAAGGGAGAGGATTTTTTAGAAGTGGGCTTACCCTGGATTATCAAACATGTGAATTCTACAGGTTAAATTAAAATTATGCACTATGGACCCAGATCTTGACTTAAAAACATAATTTTTATGTCTAGGAAAAAAGACTGACATAAAAGTTTAATCACCTAAAAACAGGTACATAGGCACAAAGATGTCAGCCAAAAATAAATGAGTTTATAGGAGAATACACATAAGTCTCCCTATCTATTTTCCAAATCACAAGATGTTTTATTTAATTTAATTAATTAATTAAATCACAGGATGTTTTAAAGTGGAAGAAAACTTGAACTGAAAGATGGACTGATATTCCACCCTACAAGTGATTAATCTTAATAGTAAAAAATATTATATATTTTTTTATTTATCTTTTCAAATGGGAACCACATCAGCCCCTCCCCTTCAGAAAAGAATTAAATTAAAATAATCTTTTGCACAATGATCATCAGGATAATGAATATGAACATAAAATTACTCACTAATACATGTGGGTTGAGGTGACCATCCACTTTGCAGACATGTAATTGATCCTGAAGTTTTACCATCTGGTGTTACATATCCTGGTTTACACTGATATTGTGTTTCTTTATTCAAGGGATATGCAAATTCATATTCAGAAAAAAATCCATTTTCAATTGTTATATCTGATTTTAAACATCTTTCTGAAAGAGAGACAGTATAAGGAAAATATAAGCGTGTAAATAAGCATTTCATAAATAATTGACTAGCTACCTCTCCTAGTCTTGAAAGAATGGCCTCACTTAGAAGATGACCATTATTGTTTAAGCCTGCCCTGCTTTTCGTTATCTCTCAAGCCTTGTGGTTGTCCATCACCCTACTTTATGTTAAGTGGCTCTCAGTAGCTGAGAGTGTGCCAAGACCTGGACAGTGTCCCAAAGGGGAGGATCTCAGTCAGCACCTAGATTCAGGCTTATAGGAAGCCAGGTCCTCAGGCAGCAATGTTTAATGTATGCAAATATACCTCTTTCAGGGGAAGACTGGGAGATGGGCATTTCTGTCTGCTCCTTCTGAACTGAGCAATGGAGTGATAGCCAGTTAAGAACTGTTTCTTTCTCTGCCACCATCTCTTTGAATTCACGAATACAAACCCTGCTGGCCACCAAGGGCAGGCAATCAAAGGCTAATACCTGGGCAGCAATCACAAAAACCAAGGTACCATATACAAAAGCTGGACAGCAGATGTGTGTATGAGCTCCCTTCTAGAAGATACCAGCACTCTGGAGTGCATCAAAGAGAGAGATGTGATCTCTAGAGGTCTCTGGGAGGATTACAGTTGGCCTTTAGTTTAATTAGAAGCCTGCCTCTCAGGACTCAGTTATGAAGATAGGCCAATAGGCCTCTTTTGCAAGAAAAAATAGATTCCTTAGTCTCCTGCCTCTCTGCTGTGCCCTGGGGTGGTAGCTGGTTTAGAATTCTTTCCCCATTTGTTGCAGTCCTATGGGACCACAATCATAAGCCCAGCTGGCCACCAGAGGAAGGCAGTCTAGAGGAATACCCTAGCTGGGAATCACTAAAGCCAGGGCACCATGGAAAAGAATAAGCTTCTTTCCTGGAGATACCATTGACCTAGAGCGAGGCAGAGGAAGATCACAAAGTTGGCTTCCACTGGCCTCTATCTCCAGAGAACACCTAAGTAGGCCCCTAGGTGTGTGCCAAACCAGAAGCCTGCCCCTCAGGCTGAAACTTCAGGAAGGCTAATAGGCCGCTTTCGTAGGAAGACTGAGAACGTAGTTCAGTCTGTATCTACAGTGTGCCCTGGGGGTGGTAGCCAGCCCTGAACTGTCTGCATTTGTTACAATCCTGTGGGACCTATGAATGCAAGCTCCACTGGCCATCAGATCAAGTAATGTCCCCTGGGTGGCAGCCACAAAATCCAGTGCCCAAACGTAAAAACTAGGGCACCAGATCCTTGTACGAACTTCCCTCTAGAAGTTACCAGTGCTCTGGAGTGCAGCGGAAGGAGGACTTGAAGATAGTATTTATCCTCCAAGGTCTTTGTAGACAATTATAGTTGGCCCTCAACTGTTTAATTAGAAGTCTGCCCCTCAGGCCCCAGCAGTGAAGATTAATCTAATAGACCTTTTCCACAGAAAGATGGCTGCTTCAATCTGTGACTTTCTCCTGTGCCCTGGGGGTGGTGTCCTGTTAAGAACTCTCTTTATTTGTTACAGTCCTGCGGGACCCACTGTCCACCACAGCCATGTGATCTAGAGGTGTCTCCTGGGTGGCAGCTGTAAAAACCAGGGGGTGTCTAAAGAGGATACAAGCTCCTTTCCTGGAGATACCAGTGAGCTGGAATCAGGCAAAGGGAGAGCATAAAGAAGGTGCCTGCTGGCCTCTGTCTTTGAAGAGAGCTTTAGTAAGCCCCTAGATGTGTATCAAATTAAATGCTTGCCCCTCAGGCCAGTGCTTTAAGATAGGCAAATAAGTCTCTTTCACAGAAAGTCTGGGCACTTCTCAGATGGCTTCCCCTGTGTGGGGCCCTAGAGTGGGTGAGTCCATGCATGTGGACCCTTTAAGAACTATTTCTCAGTTAACTGTGGCCTGTGGTCTTATGGACACAAGCCCCGCTGGCTTTCAAAGCTAGATGTTTTGGGGGCTTGTCTGTCAGGTGCCAATCTTAAAATTGGAGTTCCAGATGTAAGGTTCAAATCTTCACTCCTCAGAGAGAAGCTTGGGGTTTGGAATTCCCTCCCAATTGTGTGTCATCATGCTGAGGATGAGGTTTATGGTCAGATTGTGTCTCAATTTCTTCTCCCCACTTTGATGTGGGTTTTTTTTCTCATTTGCCAAATGTGTAG